GTCAATAAAATATATTTGTAAGTATATTAACAAGGGCAGTGACCAAGCTACATTTGCGTTGAGAAATGAACATGATGAAGTTACTAGATTTCAGTCAGGCAGATATATCAGCTCTTCAGAAGCTGTGTGGCGGATCTTAAGTTTCAACATTCACGAAAGATATCCACCTGTGACTCATCTGGATGTTCATCTTGAAAGCGGTCAACGTATATATTTCAACGCCGAAAATGTTACAGAACGATTAGAGAACCCTAAACAAACAACTTTATTAGCATTCTTTCGACTTTGCCAAACTGATGATTTTGCAAAATATCTTTTGTATGAGAAAGTTCCATCGCATTATACCTACGATAAGCAACGAGATGTCAATTTTTAATCGTAGACGCCGTGGCAGGCCTGTAGATGGCGAGTCAGGTATTTTCAAAGAACATGTTCTTGATAGAGTGTATACCGTTCATCCTAACAACGCTAAGTGTTTCTATTTGCGAATTTGTTTCTATTACATACAGTGTGAGGACCAACATCATTTATAGATTTGAGAAAAGTAGACGATGTTGTTTATTCAACTTATCATGCAGCTTGACAAGCGCGTCGTTTGCTTGAAAATGATCAGCATTGGGATGACGCTTTAGCAGAATCCTGTGTTAGTGATAATCCACGACGGTTACGCCATTTATTTGTAACATTACTCATATTTTGTAATTTGTCAGATGCTGTATAATTATGGGAAAAATATAAGGAAAAATGTACAGAAGACTTTCTTCGGAATATATCTCACAATGATGAAGGCGCAACTAATGATAATTTCCGTGATCTTGCCATAATTACTGTGCTTATTAGCTCTTCAGGAAGACTTAACAGCAGTAAGCGGTAAATAACTCTGTGAATACGGTTTGCCAACACCAACCTCAGTCGGAGAGGTTACCAATAGGGAATATTCTGCAGAGATTGGTTACAACTCAATGGAACTGCTGGCAACATTAAAAAACGGTGTCCCAATGATGACTGCAGAACAACGTTCAATCTATGATCGCGTGTGCGAGAGTGTTCAGAATAATTTGGGAACAATATGGTTTTTAGATGCACCTGGATGAACTGGAAAAACCTTTTTGACTAAATTAATATTAGCTTATGTTCGAAATCAGCGTAAAATTGCTCTTGCCGTGGCTTCATCAGGTATAGCTGCAACATTGCTACCAGGAGGTAAAACTGCTCACACTATGTTTAAAATACCAATTGATTTAGATCGCACGGAAAGTCCAACCTGTAGTATTTCAAGAAATAGCGACAAAGCTAAGGTATTACGTGAGTGTAATTTAATCATATGGGATGAATATACGATGGCCCACCGAAAAGGAGTAGAAGCGGTAGACAGAACTTTAAGGGATATAAGACAAAATGATCGACCAATGAGCGGTATAACGGTTTTATTTTGTGGTGATTTCCGACAAATCTTACCGGTAATACTACGGGGAACACGAGCTGATGAGGTTAGGGCTTGCCTAAATAGCTCTTATTTGTGGCGTGATATACAATCGGTACATTTGACTATAAACATGCGAGTGAGAACTGGATATAACCCGGATGATCGTCAATTTTCTGATAAATTATTAAAGATTGGGGAAGGTACCTATTCACAACTACACCAAGGAAAAATTATTCTGACGCCTGAGTTATGTTATATAGTGCAATCCTAACCACATTTTATATCGTCGGTTTACGATGACGTAACAATTATATTAAATAGGGACAATTTTTGGCTATGCGAAAGATCCATTTTAACTCCTCGCAATGACCAGGCATCTGAGATTAATAACAAAATACTGTCGAATATACAGGGGGAAAGCAAAGTTTATAGTTCAATAAATAGAATGGTCGATGAACAAGAAGCCACTAATTACCCGATAGAATTTTTAAATTCTTTAAATATGCCCGGACTTCCTTCTCCTGAAATTTGTTTAAAAATTGGCATTCCGATTGTTCTGCTCCGAAATTTAAGACCACCACAACTTTGCAATGGAATTCGGCTAAAAGTAACCCAGTTGCAACAAAATATAATCGAGGCTCAAATTTTAACAGGTTGCGGTGCAGGAGAAACCGTCTTTATTCCCAAAATTCCCATAATACCAAATAATTTTCCATTCCAATTTAAAAGAACGCAATTCCCAGTATCATTGTGTTATGCAATGACAATTAATAAGGCGCAAAGTCAGACTTTTCGTGTTGCTGGAGTAGATCTCGGTGTCAGTTGTTTCTCGCATGGTCAGTTGTACGTCGCTTTTTCCCGGGTTAGCAGTTCTAGAAATCTTTATGTTTACGTGTCGGACGGGTCAACTTTCAACATAGTTTACCCGGAAGCTTTGCGCTGAAGTATTTTTGTTCTATAAGTACTTAAACCTCATGTGAACGTGATCTAAACAATATTACCAATATATTAACTTAATAACACACAAGGAGTTACACTCCATCCAAAGCCCAGCGACACTATAACATATATAGGCATGACATCTTAGCAAAAGTTGTTTGGTCTGATGGGCATTTCCTGTTGACTTACAAAAATGAAAGATCTAGAACGTCTCGAATCATCTCGCGAATGATTCGCGAGATGATTCGAGTTTTAGATTTCGATTTCGATTCTTAGAATTCAACATCAGACGTTTCAGATCTTCGATTTTGACGACCCCGTTGTCGCTGGCATAAGCAACAGGATACGCGTACGAATTCGCGGGCAGAAGCTAGTTGTTTAAATAATGGTTTGAAGTGGACTTTGATGTGTAAAGGTGATGCGATTTTGTGTATTAAGTTAGTAGTAAGTATGTATTAGTTAAGTATGTTTTTCTCAAAATAAGGTGTCTGCTTAGGCGCCTTGAGATACCATTGCCAACTGTCAGCTGCCTGCTGGCTCAATTTGCCGTCAAAATCTCCCAAGGGCTGCACAATGTGATGCTTCAACATATTGTGAAGCAGTCTACTATGCAGGATAGTTATACGTTGTATAAAATCCCAAAATCCCAAAATACAGAGCCGTAAAGCCAGTTATTAAAAAATGGGCCATAGGGAGAAGGAAAGTCTTTATGGCAATATAGTAGAGTTTAGGGGTGTCCACTTTGAAAATAAGTCGATGTTTTTTTTCGATGCAATGCATCTAGACTGTGCATCGATGTATTTCGATGCATCGGTTAGAAACATCGATGTTTTTTCAACATCGAGTACTTTTTCTGACTTTACATTTACATTACAAATCAAGTAGTCAATCTTCTAACTTCTGACGCCCCGTTCAAACAAACAACAATTTTGAATGAACTACTACTTTTCTTTCTTTGATCGCACGTCTTTTGTGAGTGTGTATGTGTTCAAGTCAGATAGATAGATATTCTTTATTGCACAAAACACAAAGTATCTTGACAACTAATCAACACAATTGATGTTTACAGTTTTGACGGCCTTATATGTATCGCTATAAGCGATCTCTTTAATGTAATCTTTAAGCTAAAATATTCAAGGAATCTATATTACAAAGAAAAAGCCTTTGTTGATTCAATTGTTTAATTTCATTTTAAAAATAAAGACAATGCGTAACATCTTTTGTTATTATTACAAAAAGTACAAACAATAAAAATCAGCTGCAATTATAAAAATTCCGATATTCATAAATAATTGCTATTAGGTTTTCTATTATCTATAATATTAGTTTCTAAGAGATTTGACTTTCAAAAAAAGACAATGGATAAGTGGTATTACCCTGCTGCTAGTGTAGTACTTGTCACCTGACACTTCCTTGGTTGCAGCTTCAATCGGTCGCAGAACTTGTAAAACCGAAGAAAGAATTGATAGCTCTGATGCAGTAAGCATAGGTGGTGCATTTTTATTCAACTGTTTAACTTCATTTTAAAAATAAAGACAATGCGTAACATCTTTTGTTATTATTACAAAAAGTACAAACAACAAAAATCAGCTGCAATTATAAAAATTCCAATATTGATAAAGAATTTCTATTAGGTTTTCTATTATCTATAATATTAATTTCTAAGAGGTTTGACTTTCAAAAGAAGACAATGGAAAAGTGACATTACCTTACTGCTAGTGCAGTACTTGTCACCTGACACTTCCTTGGTTGCAGCTTCAATCGGTCGTAGAACTTGTAAAACCGAAGAAAGAATTGGTAGCCCTTATGCAGTAAGCATAGGTGGTGCATTTTTATTCAACTGTTTAACTTCATTTTAAATATAAAGACAATGCGTAACATCTTTTGTTATTATTACAAAAAGTACAAATAATAAAAATCAGCTGCAATTATAAAAATTCCGATATTAATAAAGAATTTCTAGATAGTAAATTTAAAAAATTAAGCACTATGATTTCACGTATCATGGACAGTTTTATTTTATTTAACTATTAATTTTATTAATAGTTAATTGTTATTATTAAATAACAATTATTTTAACATTTTTATCCTATTTAATAATAATTAATAATTATCTGACATTTCTATTCTATTTAATAATTATCTAATGAGTAATTATATACAAATTTTAATTTTAATGTATCTTTCAAAATTTTGTAAGATACATTAAAATTAAAATTTGTATATACTAATACTTTAACTTAATAATGAGTAACTGAGTTAGCCATAGAATTAAGTTTGATATTTGTATGCCTCTATATAAGCGGTGAAACATGTTTGGCCTAAAATGTATATAATTAACACCTGTATTTACCATGTCTGATGCAAATAAAAGTTTTGAATCTTTTAATTAAAGTCCTATGTCCAGTGTTCTTTTGGAAGACTTTGCAAAAAGAACAGTTTATTCAAACGTTTCCCTTTCAGTCTATTTCATTGCTGATTGACGATTTGTGCCGCTTTAGAAAATAAACGTTCAGATGGTACTGAAGTTCCCACCATGGTCAAGTATTTGGAAGCAATTGTATGAAGTTTAGGAAGCTGAATTTTAAGATCATTCCAAATTTCCAATAGGTTCTCATTAAGTCTTCCTACTGGACTACGCAAGTAGGTATATTGACAGCTCATCAGAAATATCATCGCCAGACTTCGCCATTTTCGAGCTCTTGTGGACTAATTTATGGTGATCATCCCAGAAGGAGCAGTTATCTTCTGGCTTGTCAGAATGATCTGAAGAATCAGATTCCACAGCCGCAGAACAAGCTAGTGGATCCGTAAAATGCATTTTCTTGAACCTCGGATCCAATATCGTCGCTATAGCGAGGGGATGCACTCTCTCTATAACACCCATTCTCCTGTCGATCTCTTTAAGGACCAGTGATTGTAATTCTTTGGGAAGAGGATCTTCGAGTTTAAAAGGTTTGACTTCCAAAAGAAGACAGTGGATAACCTTGCTGCTACTGCTGTATTTATCACCTGACACTTCCTTGGTTCCAGCTTCAATCGGTCGCAGAAGTTGTAAAACCGAAGAAAGAATTGATAGCTCGGATGCAGTAAGCATAGGTGGTGCATTTTTATGACGAATGATTATGGTATTAATGACAGTGCGAAGTTCCAAAAGTCTCTCGATCATATAGTATATACTATTCCATCTGGTCGGGACCTCTTTAATCAATTTAGTTTCTTTCTGGGTTGCTTTACGTAATTCGTTACTGGCTATGTTACTTTGTTTGAACCATGTGACAATATCTTTGACTTTATTTATCAAGTTTCGCAGCTCTGTACACTGCTGCATTGAATTTTGTACTACCAAATTCAAAGTGTGTGCGAAACATAGTATGTGTTTTTTTCCAAAAGCTATATCGACGGCATTTACCATGTTAGCTGCGTTGTCTGTCACTACAGCCGAAACTTTATTTTTGTCAATACCCCATTCAGTACAAGTGTCTAGCAGCATTTGAGTGATGTGTTCTGAAGTATGACGTTCATTTGACTGGTACACGCTAAGAGTAATTGAAAATAGATCATTACCGACACTGAAGTTGCTGTTATTCCTAAAAGAACTTCTCATGCTCATTGTTTCAGACCACATGTCAGTCGTAAGAGCAAGGTTTTCAATAGTTGACAACTTTTTTTTGAAGACTGTAGATAATGCTGCGTATTTATCATCAACCCATCGAGTTAACGTCGTCTTATTGGGAAGTTTATAAAGCGGCGCAATAACTTTGATCAAATTGCGAAAGCCTTCATTTTCAACAATTGTAAATGGTTGGTTGTCTTTACATATCATGTAAATTATGGCATTATTTATCCTTAAAGTTTTATCACCATTCGCCGAATAAGCATAAATTACTTCAAAACTTGATATAATAGACTTTTGACGTTTTGGAGCTGGGGGAACAGGAACATATTCATCTTCTTTCGAAGCGTCAGATTTTTTAACAGCTTCTGTAGTCAATCCTATTACATCATCAGAGCTTGTTGATGGCAGCAAATCAGCCGAGCTTGTTGACGGTAGCATATCAGCAGCGTAAGGAACTTATTTTGTAAGTGTATTTATTGTATTGCTGGCGATGATAGATTTTTTTCGAATTTTCATTATTTAACTCACAAAAAGCTGCCTTGTGTATATTTTTATACGACCAATTAAGTTGGTTGTATTGCCACAAGATTTTATAGCTTTTTGACAGTCTGCATTTCACAGAGTTACTCTCTCCATGAACTTTATCATAAAACTTCCTTACACTACTCTTCTTGGAAGGTGCCATTGTATTGTCAATTCAAAAAATTAAAATTATAAAACACTTAAAATTATTTTAATAGTCACTATAAATCACAATGAAAATTACAACTTCTGATTTCTTATTATGATACCTACTTATTATATTTCATTTTATTTTTACTTATTCTAAATTAAGTTTCCATCGTATAAATATTGACAAATATTTATACAATACTAACGTCACTCAATTGTTTTGCCTTCCCGAAATCCCTCCACTAACACTTAAACTTTATGATATGGTTTTAAAGTTCAAATTGACTTTTAAGTATCATTACGAATCTTTTGTATGGGCATATAGAAAAGTGTTGTTTTTAGACTTTTTCAGACAATTTTTCCAATTTTTCAAAGAACCATCTTCGTACTTCAAGGAATATTATAAAAAGGAATATTTAACAGTGGTAGAGCCACGCGGCAGCTTTTGCTGTCGCACGGTTGGGCCGGCTCGAACCGGGGTAGTACCACGACCTCACAGAAAACTAGCGTGAAGTAGAGGTTTACCTCTGCGTTTCGCTTGGTGAGTGCAGGTGGCAGGAGGCCCTTTTTATTGGAAATGAGGCATTCCATCTTAGTCCTCACGGGTGACAACGCATCTACATTTTGATTTGTAATAGAGGATAGATGTAGATGTCTATGGGCCGCAGCAACCACTTACCATCAGGTGGACTGTGTGCTCGTTTGTCACCCTTATCCTATAAAAAAAAAAGAATTAGCGAAATCGATACAGCTGCGCTCGAGATTTTAGCTTACATTCAGCGATTCATTTTTATATTATAAGAAGATTAGAGTTTAGTGTATCAATAAAGGAAAAACTAAAATATTTTGTAATTTCGGTCCAGTTTTCTAGATATATCAACTGCATAAATAACTTTGTAATCCTATATAAATATATAGGAAATATATAGGATTACAAAGTTAAATTTGCAGTGAATGAATCAGTGTACCTGTATATCTATACAAATAAATAAAATTGAAGTGTCTGTTTATAATGTCAAAATAACAGCTTGTTACAAGCTGCATATGAAAGTATATACGGTACTTATAACAAAAACACAATTTTTAAAATTTTTGTCTCTCTGTCTGTCTGTCTGTTTGTTCCGGCTAATCTCCGTAACGGCTGGACCGATTTTGACGGGACATTAACTGTTAGATAGCTCATGTTACAAGGAGTAACTTACCTAAGTACATACATTTTTTTAAATAATTAGGGTTCCGCGCAACAAAATTAAAACCCTAAATTACACGCGGGCGAAGTCGCGGGGAGTTTTCCGTCAAAAAATTCTTAGTAGCTGCCCGAAGTCAGGAAGTTAGCGGTGTCTCACCCCCGTGCCTCGGAAAGCACGTAAAGGCGTTGGTCCTGCGCCTGATCTCTCTGGTCGTGTCGGATAACCGTCCCATCGGACTATAAGGGTGAGGGAATAGAGAGTGCACCTGTGCTTTCGCATACACTTGGGCACTATAATCCTGTACTGCGCAGTTGGCTAGTCTCCGTTGAGGCAGGCCGCCGTGACCGAAATTCGGTCTGGAGGACATTAAATGAAATTAAAGTAATAGTTTAGTTGTGTCACGAATGGGTCGGCTCGACCGGGGAACGACCACGCTTGCACAGAACACCAGCGTAAAATAGCAGATCAACGCTGCTGTGTTCCGTATGATGAGTGTAGAGAACCGGAGACCCATTTTACTGGAAAAGAGGTATAGAGGCATTCCATCTTAGTCCTCACGGGTAACAACTCATCTGCATTTTGATTCTTTATTGACGATAGATTTAAATGTCTTTGCGTCACAGCAACCACTCACCATCAGGTGGACTATATGCTCGTTTGCCACCCCATCCTATAAAAATAGAAATAAACTTACCTGTCCAATCGAATATGTACGGAAACGATGGTATTTTCCTCACAAACAACCAAGCACAACAAGTCTGTTCCTTTCTGTAAAGTGTGCACTGTGCACATTCACGACACAATTAAATTAAATGTAATTTAACGTTTTTATTCAAAGTTCACAGAGGCCTTACACCATTCAATTCAACCAAAGGTAATAATAAGTAATGAGGATTGAGGATGCGCCTAATGCAACGAATTATATAGTCTGTCACTTTTGGTGTTGGTACGGGGCGGAGAAACAATACACAGACAGCTACTGCACACCTACTCAATAAAATGTTGTGTCATTATGGCACTCACAAATCTAAATCTCCAACACTTTTACATTTTACGCACCCTTATAGGTTAAATACACCAACATAGAAAAAGTGATGAGTGTGAGTGTAAGACAGACGAATTAATTGCAATGCTACCATATCGATATTTTATATCGATAGTTTCCCTAAACGAAAACAAAACAAGCATAAGCAAAACGCACTGGAACAATTAAAACATCTGAACTCTTTAATTTGGACAGTGCAACAAGCTTTTTAGGGTTCCGTAGTAAAACAACAAGAAACTCATAGTTTCGCCAAGTCCGTCCGTCTGTCCGTCTTTCCGCGGCTTAGCGTAGAGACTATTGGTACTCTAAAGAGCTCTAATTTTGCATGGTTATACATGGACACCAGAAATGAAAACGGCTCTAAGTACCAAAAAAAAATTGATGGAAGTGGCTCTCCTCAAAAAACAATCCCAAATTTTACAATTACATAACATAACATGAATAAAACTTACAGAATCTGTTAACAGTAATGTTGGTTAAACATCACAGACTAATTTGCGACGTTTACTAGGCAAACATTGAAATTGGGATGAATCAAAGTCCATCGAACAGATAGTACTTGTGCGGGTAGGTTCCCAACCCCTTTTTCTAACTTAGCGTGCTACAGACTATCTTTATAAGACGTATTTTTTTTCTTTATACACGTAACATAATTAACACACATCCTGAAAGTAGTTTATTCCGAATTATTTACTGAATCGATTTCTATCATTTTTAATATAGGTAATTTTTTATTCCAAAAATAATTGAAACTACGTAATTTACAGTCACACTAAACCTGTACAGTCAAAACAAACTGAAATAGATCGTAACTCAAGGCAATAAGACTTTTAAAAGTGCAGTTTTATTTGTATTAATACAAATTCCGTTATTCAATACAAAATAAAAAAAATTAACCTTATTTCAAGTACATACTTTAAAGTCTTTACAAATACACAGTTTGGAGTGCCTTAGAAAGGTCGCAGCGGCCAGACCATTGACCTCCCAGATCAGCTGATTTTTTTTTTTAAAAAATTGTAATGTTATTAAACATTACTAATATTCCCTTTAACCACTTCTGGTAAGCTTAAAATGCTTGTGTTAGAAGTGGTTCACGACAGTAGTCGAATGGCGGATGCGAACCCACGACCTTTCGAGTTCGCGGTCCGCGCCCTGCCATTAGGCTGCTGACGCTTTTTCTGATTGGACGCCTCTTGACTTTTTTTTATGGGGAGGTATTAAATCATTAGTTTATTTTAGTGAGACAACAAGTGTCGAGGACCCAAAATAGAATAGTAAACACTTTTAATAAAAATATTAAAATAGTGAAAAATGACACTGAATTGCTTTCTAAATTATTTTCTTTCTTTTTTAAAACGTAACCTCCACACTAGGATTTTCTCTTGTATTGTTAGAGTATAGTGAGTAGTTTACATAGTTTACAAACATAAATTGCACAAGGATAAACATCCAGACCCGGATCAATTATTTGTAGGCCATACAAATACTTGTACCGTGCGGAATTCGAACCCGCGGCCCTTAGCGCTGCAACTCAATTGCTAAGCCACTGCGCCACGGAGCCGTGGTGGACATTTTGAAAGGGTATTAAAATACAACGTTGCATGAGAGTTTAGGCTATCAGTAAGTTAAATATTTGATTCTTAAAATTATTGTAATCTTGATTCACATCTTTTAACCACGCCGTCTTTGAATTATGTTGTCGTATTGCCTCTTATTTTTAGCTGTTCATTATTATTTACAATTACAATTAAAATGTTATGGAAATTCATAACATTTTGTAACGAATATTGCCTATTGACATTGTATCATAATGAATAAATAAAATTAAATATTCAGTGTCGAAAGAATACAATCAAATGTTTACTAAACTTAAATAAACAACTCAATGCACGGAGTTCTGACATCTGTTAGTGTTCATAGGTAGGTTATTTCTTTAACGTAACTAATCATATATATTCGTATTGTCGGCTTTTTTCGGCACTAATACCTACCTACAGTTGTGTCAAGCCACTGCGGTGTTAACTTGTCTCGAACACGAGCGAATACTTATAAGGTTAGCAAGACTATAATACCTAGCGTTCGTGGTTTTGTACGGTGACCACAACATTCTTCCGGAATTAGTATAACTAATTTAATAATAATCAATGCATAAACATGTTTAACTAAGAATTCAGTGTATGTATTATGATTATAACATAATATACTAATTGGGGTGTCTGAGGGTGTTCGTTAATTACGTTAGATGTTGTATATAAAAATTACGTGTCTGATTTCAATGAAATTTCGCACACTGTATGCAGTTTGGTCCAACTTGAGAGATAGGATACTTTTTATCCCGATAAGTGACCTTCAATATTTATTATTGCGAATTTAAGGATATTTTATAGGAAGGGTCATCGAAAAGGGCAGAATAACGTCTGCCTGGCCAGCTAGTAAACTATAAATTTATAGCGCACTATCAACTACGCTATGTTATAGCGCGCTATTTATAAGAAATGCGAATGCGTGGCCTCTTTAAACGGTGGCAACAC